AAACACAAAATAACGCGCTCTTGATTAGTATTTTTTTTTTTTAAACGATAGATTTTATATCACTAAAGAAAAATCTTGTACAAACAAGGAATCAAGCTGCAATGCAACATAATGAGAGGCCTACTAACAATAGCGACCTAAACAAAATAATCCCCAAGTTATACAAGAAATAGGAGATCGGTAAAGGCTGAGGCTAAAGATCCGGCCCTATTCTTTGTATAATCGTACTGCCCAGAAGAGTACTGACAAAAGATGGAGCGACCACTGAACAAAAGGACCTAGCCACTCCATCACTACTAAACAAGAAACAAAGAGAACACCCAAAAGAAAGAAACTAGCAGAGCCAGCCAAAGCAAATAAAACTAACTAAGCCAACTAAACTAGACTAAGCAGAGCAGGAAGAGAACTCCATCCACGAGGAGGTAGCTGCTTGGACAATGGAGTATTCAGAAAGCCAGAAATTTTAGAAAACCCAAAAATTTCTGGCTTTCCAAAGCCACCAGAAGACGTATACAGTGAGGCTGAGTCTCTGCTTAAAGCAAGGAGAATGTCTTGTGCTGCAGACCCCTATCCACCAGTGCTTGAAGTTGAAGGAGTCCCTATCAAAATCATCCCATGAAACGACAGCCAATTTCCAAACCATTTTGGCCTTGCAACACAGAAAGAGGGAGTGTTCAAGAGTTTCTAATTCAGCACCACATGATTTGCAAATAGGATCTATGTGATTAAGTCTGATGAGCAGCTGCTGTTTTACAGGTAGTGTGTTGGTGAAGCACTTCCAAATAAAGTGCTTGAGCTTGCTGGGTGTGTTTAGAGTCCATATCTTCTTTCTAGCTGCCCTGATATTGAGGTAAGAGCTGCTGCTTTCAGGTATGTCTAGCTTCTTCCATTTTTCCTCAATCAAGCTCACAAGAAAAAATGTCAATCTAACAATACTAATCAATGTCAGCTTGATTAGTATTGTTAGATTGACATTTTTTCTTGTGATATTCTATTGTTTATATAGAGGAATAAAATGAGCTAAATAAGACCTACAAATCAAGATTGCATGGAAATTATAATCAAATAAATATTCACAACTAATATAGGGAAAACAACTAAGGAAAGGAAATAAACTAATTTACGTGCACAAAGATTATATTTTATAATAAAATATTTCATACAATCTCCTCTTAAGCTTTGTACACGTTTCTGACATTGATTAGACCGATCTTAGAGAGTAGTTCACGGAACTTGGTCTTCCCAAGCGGCTTCCTCAGAATGTCGACCAGTTGTTCTTCGCTCCTAATGAACTTGACATTATTAGAGCTTTTGGGTTGTTTTCACCTGTGCAAACTTTTATTGGGGGGCCAATAATAGTTCAAGTTTGCTCCATCTCACCTTGTTCTTTATTACCTTCATCGGCTCAAAATTAAATCTAACACTTCAGACTTTGTCTCATTGTTCAGCGATATGTTGTTTAAGATTAGAGATCATATCGACCCGTTGTTTAAAAAAATGCTGAGAGTTCAATTATAAAAAAATTGTATGCCACCTAAGAAATACACTTAGTCTAAAAAAATGTGTTTTCCAATGCAAACAAAAGTAGACTGAGTCCTGCTGATGTGACAATAAAAAAAGAGACCCGATCTACCCATAAGTCTATTTTACACTCAAGTAGAGTCATAGTCTCTTTGCATTGGAATGTATTTTATCAATTTTAGATAATTTTATCCACGTCATAAAAAACTTGAATTTATTTACATACCACATATACAAGACTAGACCCAATGCATTGTAGATTGGTCGATTGGCCTTAGCGAACCATTGATAGATCCCGCGTTGAATTTGACACCTATTATTGGATCAACGCAGATTATCGTCTGGGCCTTGAGCCCATTAATGTTGGACTGAGTTTTAGGGCCCCGGGCCCGAAATATAAATCCGATAAAAATAAAGGGAAAATTACATACATAGCGGCCCTTATATATATATCTACATATTTACGGATGGGGCAAACTTTAATCAGATTAGGATAAGGATGTGAATATTATATCAAATCTACGAAATTATTAATAAGACGCCGAAAGAAATCCGTTCTCTCTCTCTCTCTCTCTCTCTCTCTCTCTCTCTCTCTCTCTCCACTAACATTAACTCTCCGAAATCAACGCATTAGAAACGTACAAAACTTGTACATATAAGGTTTCCTTCATGGTTGTTTACTTATCTGCTTTTTTTATTACTTTTATTATTTTAGGAGTAAAAATAAACAATAAATAAATAATATACATATAATTGAGTGGATATTTAAAAAAATATGTTGGTATAACAAAATTAACAATATAGTTATACATAAGATAAACAATATGTAAACAATTATACGGGATAAAACATGATACACAATTCTGAATTACTCCAAATATATATATTCAGATATACTGTTTATATACATCAGATATATTAACCGTATAGACATGTTCAAATCCAAAAAGAGTGAAACAAACTTAGTTTTTTTTTTTTCCCCTCGAAAGGAGGATCAATACTGGTTCCTCAATTCCCCCTCCGGGTGACTCGAACTCGGGACATGGTACACGCCGAGCGAAGGTACGCGCCACTGCGTTAACCCCTCTTCGTCAACTATTGGCAGAGTTTCAAGTAGAAAAAATGAGAGGGAGAGAGAGAGGAGATGAAGTGTGCTATGTTTTAATTTTAAGTTTTAATAATATGACCGAAATTTTGACGTTTCTTTTATATTTGTTTACTTGTTGTTTATTTTCAGTGTAACTGTACAATTGTATTTAATAAAAAAATTGGTGTAATTCAAATGTATATAAATCTACATATAAGAATATTTTTTGTCTGTACTCGTGCAACTTAAAAATCCAAAATAAGAGCACTATACATGGAAGTAAAAAAAAAAAACATGTATACAGTTGGTCAACGGACATGTATACTAAAAATAAACATTAGATAAACATGTGCATAATCATACAAATTGTAGATCATACAGTTGGTCAATTTGTTATAAAACAATACACAGGTATACTAAACATAAACATTAGATAGACATTTGCATAATCATACAAATTTTTAGAATATACAGTTGGTCAATTTTCTATAAAACAACATACGTGTATGCTAAAAATAAACATTAGATAAACACGTGTCGGTGAGTCTGCCCAAGGTACATCTCGACTTGCTCGAAATCATACTTGGTATCCTCAACGAGTGTGGGAAGCTCTCCAATTCTTCAGCCATGACAAAGCTGGAAGATGACGGCGGTGTTGACACCAACGTCTTCAAAAGTGATGACACCAAAATCCTAGAACCAATAAATTTGGTCAATTGGGAGAACATCAAGAAGACAAACTCCGGCAAGGGAGTAGAGAGGAGGACCTTTGGGCTCGCCGGACGCTATCAGTCGGTATTCAGTGAATGAATAATGATTTTTCAGCGAGAGGTTAGCAATAGCAGAACACCGTCATAACCTCGGCGGGTCGGACGCCGCGAAATTTTGACGAGGCGGCAGTTGTGAAAGAAGGATGCAACAGCGGAGGCACGCTGTCATCACAGGGAGATTGGGCCGCGTTGAAGACCGGAGAAGCGGGAGTGAACGTCGCCAGCAGATAATCTTCATCACCGTTGAAAGACAGTCGCTGCGAAAATTGACCAGGCGGCAGCGGAAGATGAGTCGCTGCGGCCGATGATGAAGGAACTCAGTTGGACTTCTCGACCGGCGGCTAAGAGGAATCTGGCGATGACGAAACAATTGAAGCCGATTTCCTCGCCGATCTTCGTGGGGCCATCAGAATTTGGTAGATTACGAGCGTTTGCCTGAGAGATTGAGAGAAAATTGAAGGAGAGAAAAGCCCTAAATTGAAAAGCTCTAACCTGGTTTGCCTGAAAAAAAAATAAATAAAAAAAAATCACAGAAAAAATGGAGAGACTGACTTTCTTTTTGGTGAGATATGAATTCTCCACATTAAAACCGAGATATGAAGAGAGAATTGATGATTTGTTTTCTTCTTTGACGGTGGAGTGAGAAGTTTCTATATTGCATGTTTCCAAAAATTATGTACGGGATTTAATCAAGGCTAAAAATAACCACCTGATATATTTAATTAAAGTTAATTACTGTAGTATTCATAGTTTTTAAACCCGGCCCGGTAATCGACCCGGGGAGGTCTTCGGGTCACCGGGTCACCGGTTCAACCGTCGGGTCACCGGGTCAATTGCTGAACCGGATAATTAATTTTAAAATTTATAAAATTATATTTAGA